GTTTTCCGAACAAGTTTTTTTCCTTCTGCAGGTTCACAAATGTATCGAGGCTCTGTGTCACAGCCCACATGGTACACCAGTGGTGAGTGGTTTGAGTGCTGTCTGCTTAGAAGGAGAACAAAAGAGGGTTTTAAAGGCTAAATTATACAATTCTTATGAGTCTTTTTGATAATTCCCTTCCATAAAAGCTGCCATTTTTCATTTTCAAGGGGCTAATATTTTAGTTTACTTTAAACATCTCTCAGTGTCTTTTAAAGATCAAGGAATTGAAATTATTTGTGGTCATTTTCTCAGCCCTCGTTCCCATTGGTGGGCTTTGTGTTGGTACCTGCCTGTTCTCTATTCAGGTCCCTTCCTGCTCTCAGTAACACTTTCATGCAGCTTGTGAAGGGCCCAGTTCCACTGGCACAGTATTAACTGCTCATGTGGAGCTTTGCCTCGTGTGTCACTGTAAAACACCAGTGATTTGCCTTTGCAGTTGATGGGGACCCACACTTCATCATATCAGTGCCACAAAAAAGAGATGCCATCTGTTTCAATATCAATGAAAACCCGGGTACTGTCTTAAATTTAATAAATGATCCAGTTACAGGTGAGTTTTAATTTATTTTTTTTTTAATAATTGGTAAATCACGATACTTCTAACAAAATGTCCTGTGTGTAAAGCTGTTTCTCTCTTTATAATGCATAAGCTTTTTTTCCCTGCAAAGTTAGTAGGAGGTCCTGTAGTTATGATAGGGTACTATTACTATGACTGTTTTCACTTCTTGGAGCAAAATGAACTTTTAAACTTTGTTTGAAAACCACTGTGAGGGTTGAGAGTAGTAATTTGTCTCAGTGAGTTTTAGTGCAAACGATAAAATAATCCTTAAATTGCCAGTTCATGGAATATCTGGTGAAGAGAGACTGATGTCACACAGGCCATCTGTGCCCATCACAAACTCTTTGTGTTCTAGGAAATATTGAACTTTTCTCAAGAAAATGATTGTTGGCTTTCTGGAAATTCACAGAACAGCCCCCAGGGCTTTGTTTTACTTTAGCACAAATATGCACAAGTAATTCTGATATATTTTGCAACTCAGACCTAATTCCTTTGGTTTTGTTAAATATTCAAGACACTCCTTGGCATCAGTTAATCAAGTCCTGTCTATAAAACAATACTTGTTTTTTTTCTATACTAGGCATCACAGTCAATGGAGAACTCATTGGTGATAAGAGAGCAAATAGTGATGCAAAGATCCAAAATTCGTATTTTGGAAAACTTGGCATTGCAAATAAGCACCTGGATTTAAAATTGACAGTAACTCCCGAGAAGATCACAGTTCAGAATGGCAATGAAAAAACAGGTTTCACCTGGCTTGACTCAGTCACCTTGCAACAAGCAGGGTAAGGCTTAAAGAAAGGCTATCAGTCTCTTGCATTGCTTTCTACACTTCTTTAAACATTGATCAATAATGCACTTCTATGATTTCTTGTCTGAATCTACAAAAGAAATTGATTCAAGCCCTGCTGGACTCTGCTCTCTATTTTGTTGTGTAACTGCTGAATTATTCACAAATTCCTCTGCTTGGAATAAGTAAGTGAAAATTTTTCCCTGATGGTATATTACCATGACTAAGGCAAAACTAGATTTGGTCTCATGTTTAATGCAGCAGTGTCTTGCAAATACTTGAAGATTAACTTTAGACACAGTGTGTAATCTTTCAAAGGCATAATAATGCACCATAAACAATCTCCAGTTTAAGAAATGGAAATTGTGGCATTTACAGAATAGGTACATTTTGCCCTGTCAGCAGGTCTATTTTTCATGGGATCTCTCTATTACAGAATCATTTATACCTGTGCAAAAGGAAGTTCAGAAAAGGAATGGGCAACATCTCCTCCTCCTGCCTTCTCAAGGCCTGGCACTGCAGCAGAGAGCAAAACTTATTCACACCTTTTTGTTTGTTTTTTTTAAAATTATGATAGAACATGGATGATACCAGTAACACAATCAGAAGCAAAACTTCTTTATCCTAGCACTAACCTAGGCAGTTTGGGAGTTGACTTCTCTGAAAAGCAAAAGGAAAACGTGTCATGTAGCATCCAGCCAAGGAAGTGATGGTTTTATCAATAGAATTTGTATTACTGAGCATGAGGTGCTGTATCTACATATCACTGACCTATCTGTGATTAATTGCACTGTTAAAAGACCAGTTTTGGTAAAACCATCTTACTGAAAAGTTTAAAGGCCAGGTGGCCTTTTCCAGTGTCATTTAATATGATTCTGTGACTGTCTGTGAACACACATACAGAGACTCCCATGGACCAAACTAGGCAGCAAACCCTCTCTTTTAGACAACACCCAGCACTTTATAAAGCCATGTTTATATCTTGGACAGGTTTCTTCTCACATTTCTTCTCCTTACTGTTAACTCTGGGAAGCATAATGTCCTAATTCATGTTTTGGTTTTTTTTCCCCTCAGTTTAACTTTAATAATTCATAGAAAAAAAAATCTGGTGCTCTCAATGGGCAGTGGTGCCTCATTTGTTGTTGTTTTGCACCAAGTATGGAAGAAACATCCTCTCCACCGAGATTTCCTAGGACTGTATACATTGGAAGAGGATAAACTGTCTGAGCAGACCCATGGATTATTAGGTATGACTTCTTTTAGTGTTTCCATGCTGGTCCTTCCTTATGAGGCTGCATAATTTGTAGACACAAGCTTGTACTTAACCTTTCTGAACTGAGAATGGAGGAAACTGAGATGACATTGATTGACAGTATTAAGATTTGTGACAAAATATTCTGGGCTCAGACTGTGTGAATTATCTTTTCACAAATTTCTCTGCTTCTACTGCTGAAATCACTGGCACTCATTGTCCTCACTGGCATCTTTAAACCTCTTTATCTTGCAAAGTCCCACTTACAGATTGTTTTTTTCTTACTACACTATTCCTCCAGTCTCTTGGATGGTTTAACCTCTCCTTTCATCTTATCACCCTTTGCCTAAACACAGGCCCTCTGAAAAAATACTTGTTTGCCTGATCAAAATTTGCCAAACCTCAGTTAGTGGATCCTTGTAAGAAAAGAAATTGCTAAAGTATAGCTTGATTAAGGTATATCTCGATTTATTAGCATATATTAAACCCACAATATGCCTTTGTATCATCCAGGGTTTTCCTCATGTTAACCAACATTCTTTGTTTTAGTAGAAAGTGAAGTTGGTAGTTTAGGGATCAAAAGTTTGATCCTATTTTCTGCCAGTGCAGTGGGTTTGGTGGTGGGCATCCTCTGCTGCAAAAAACAGAGCAGACATTTGCCTTCCAATTTTCACTTAAAAAATCTGGTGAGGGCAGCAAACATTCCTTTTGGATCAATAAGTTTACTCAGTGTGGAAAACAATGAACTGCACCAGCCCAGAAAGGACAAAAGTGTGCAAAAGCTAATCCTGGCAGGAGCGCAAAAATTCCTTAGCTGTCAGCCTTGTGCTGAGCACAATCACATCCAGAGATTTCAGAGATCAACACAGACATTATTTGATTCAAAAAAAAGCTAAAAACTTGGGGACTATATCATAAATACAGTTGACTAGACAAGACACCAAGTGAGGATATCTTGAAAGATATATAGAAAAGGCTAATTGTATTGTGCACTCAGAAGTTGGAACTTATATCCAGATGATATGGATACAATTCTGGATTGTAGATAGAAAATAATTCCATGGGCATATGTTCAACCTTACATGAGACCTGGTGTTTGCTTATCCATTCAAACCCCTGAAGGGACGTGGAAACCAGCATGGGGATGTAGAAATCCTGGGATTTCTGTTTGGTTGCTGTTTTAATGTGTGCAACATACCTGAAATGTTAATTTTGGCTTCTATTTTTAGGACAATTTTTCCACCCCATTGACTTCACCATACTTGAAATTCATCCTGGGTCCGATCCCAAGAAACCAGATGCCACAATGGTTATTAAAAACAATGAACTGATAGTAACGAGGTACAAAATAATTAAGTCCTTAGCAAAGACTTAGGCAAGATTGCCTTGTCCAAGTGCAGTTCCTACCTTGGTACTCCCATGGCTGTGCTTCCCTTTCAGGGGCTGGCAGAAGGATTACAGAAGAGATCCCAACCATGGCGTTGATGTTCCCTGCTGGTTTGTCCATGACAATGGAGCTGGGCTCATAGACGGTGTTCACACAGACTATATTGTTTCCAGTCTGTTTTAAGCGACTACAACTTCCTCCAAATTCGTGGGTAGACAGATGATTTGTCTGAAAGAACAGTATTTTTCAATGTTTAAGAACTATTAAATATCTGTAAGCATACCGTGTTTGGCAAGGATGATGTATGATGGATTCTCATACAGTTTTGCTGTGCATTTGGTGGAATCCGAAGTGCAGGGCAGCTGTTCCCCTTGTGTGCACAGATATCCCTCCTCCTCTGGAACGTCCTCTTTATTAGGTTCAAAATTCTGACTTTGAACGTTACTTTGTAAAACATAACAGAAACCTTCTATCCAATATTCAATCAATAACGGAGTGACTTAAATAAAAGCCTCAGCACTCAGTGCCCGGTCCTGTTATTCCAGCAGCTATGGATGTTCTCATTCCGGTTTCACAAAGCCCAGGGCGCCAGATGCATTTCGCGACTGAGCACAAGAGGGCAGCTGACAGCCCAGCCCAGATTTTGGGATAATTCCACGGCACTTGGAACCTCCCGACCACTTGACTGTGCAGTGCTGAGGACTGGTGCCAGCACACGGGATGACTGTTGGCATCCAGGACTGCTGGGTATTTTAGTATTTTAATTTGAACCTAAGTTTTGAATGCCCAAATCTTTATAAATTCATGAAATACCACAGTTACAAGCACCACTCATGTTTAAGTAATAATACCTCTTTTAGACTTTATCTTTTTTGTGTAAAACCCCTCCCTCTGTTCCCATAACAGAATTTATGAACATATTCAGGGCAAGAAGTGTCCCATTTATTTATATATTCATTTTGTACTGGAAGAAATTGTAAGATATTACTTCTAAAGAAAAAGAAAAGCCTATTTCTTATTTACTTCAAAATTTCTTTTAATCAAATCAGCCACACCAAGGTAATTGTGGTCTCACATGGCAAAGCAGAAAATTCCACTATTACTGTATGACAAGGAGAGAAAGTCAGTGTATGGAAAACTAGAATGCAGACACACCTGAGGAAAGAGGAGTGTAGTGGGAAAAACAATGATGACATGAGATGTAATGGGTTAAATTGAAAGAACAAAGGTAGAGGTGAACAAATATTCAACAGAAGAATCAAGAAGGAAAAAAAATAGAGGAAAAAATATACTTACTGTTAAATTTATGGGAGATACAGGCCTTTTCCAGGAGCAAAATCTTTACTGAAAGCAAATGTTTTGTAAATAAAAAAAATTGGGAAGGGGAGAGGGTGTCACAGTGGCTACATATCTCTGCCTGCTAAATTCAGACAAAAATGATGAAAGAAAACAGTAGTTTCTACAGATGGTTATAAATTACTGAAAAATGGGGAGGGCAGGGAGAATAACAGAAAGGAGTGAGAGACCAGAACATTGGAACTAGTAAGGTTGAGTTTACATGGTTCTAAACTTTTATTCTAAGATAATTAATTACATGGAATCAGGGCTGGTCCTGTACTCACCCCATTAACACAATAAACCAGAGCAGGGCACAGCAGACCTTCACCTGCCTGTCTGGCAGAGTTTGGGCACAAGGCAGTGCTGGGCACTGAGCTTTCTTGTTTGATTAATGGGAATGAGGCAAATCCCTGGAGGTGGCAGGAGCCTTGTCAGCTGTGACAGAACTGTGAGCCAGGAGTTGACCTCAGGGGTTCTAGTCTGCTTCTGCATGGCTCCTGTTCAATATGCACTCCAAGATTCCTGCAAGGTAGGAGATAACAGCAAATGGACCTAGAGGTCACAAGGAGGGCAATAGCAGAGAGAAATAGCAGAGAGGTGCTTTCAGTTAAATAAAACATTTACTCCTGCTGCCAACAGGGACAATGCTGGTTGAAAGAGAAGTGTGAGAGAGATCTACTGTGAGATGTGGATATATCTGTTATTTTGCATTGGAATTAGAAATTACAGAATGCAAAATATTCATTATTGTGTCTGCCTTCAACTCCTTCAGCAAGGGAAGGGAGTGTAGAAAATCAGAACTCACTCTGGGCCTCAGAAAGGGCAGGAGGAGAGTGACTAAACATCAAATTAAAATACAATTCAAATGAAGAAGAGTGGAATGGCACATCCTTATGGAATGGACAGCATACCTGGGGGGGGGGAAGCCTCACTTAAGGAATCTGGGAGCTGCAGTAGCCAGGCACAGCAGCGACACCGGGCTGCTGCAGGAAACACAGACATCCCTGTGGGAACAGCCGCGAGCGCCTCTTGGAGACACGAGAGGTTCCTGAGCGGCTCCGGGCACGGCGCCTGGAGCAGCCAGACAAATCGCATCCAGCCCAGGGGACAGGGACAGCTCCGCTGGGAAGTTGTGGAAAGAGGGGGAAAAGACCCCAACTACGCAAAAAGTTTTTATGAGGAAGGCTGGCAGCTGGTTTTCTTCCCATCCGTCCGGGTTAGCGGGATGTGCTTCTTTGCAGCCAAGGAGAACTGCCCGAGCAGGGCAGGGTCTGCCCGGGGAGCGTCGGCACTGCGGGGCTTGGGGCCGCTCTCGGGAACACGCTCGAGCCTCACCTGAGCAGAGGTGCCCGGTGAAAGCTGCCCCAGCCGCACCCCACTGCTCCCCATCAGGGCTCTTTCTATCCCTGCAGTTGGCAGGCAGGGCAGGAGAGGGCACGTGGACACCCTGCAACCGAAAATTGCAGCAAGTCCGCTGATAGAATCCAGGACGCACAGCATGCGATTCAAATCCCAAATTCATTTATAATGCAATCTTCTGCCTTGCAAATTGAGTAAGCCTGTTTTTGATGCAAGTGAGCAATCTGGCGTTTCCAGTTTCCAAATTCCACGTTGTTTGTTGTGTAATTTGTCCAGCAAAATCGGCACCTCCAAATCTACATTTTGAAAGTCCAAGAAATTCACACAAACATATCTTGGCATCATGTCTGCATGGTTCTTCTATAAAAACAGGCTTCTAATTACATCGTTTGTTTATTGACTTTGGCAAGAAATTACTTCTCTTTTAGTACTTTGCTCTAAAATAATAAGTTTTTTCCAGTTACGTATTATTGGCAGGATAGAAAGCAACTTCTTTTAAACTGTTGGCATATTTATGGGTTCAAAGATACATAGGAACAAAAATTAAAAAGCTATGAACAAGCTGAAGACTGAAAGTATAACTTGGATTCCATGGGCAGAAGCTTCTGTGTGTGTGTTTACTTTGCAGTGTTACCTCCGTGCACTGCAAGTCGGGGTTGAGTTGTTCATTATTTGTGAAACATCTTCCAATGTTTGCAAAATGTTGTATGAAATGGTGCCAAAAATGGCTGCTAACTTTTGGGCTGAGATGCTGTCTTTTGCAACCAGTCAGAGGTCTTTTTTGCACCCAGTGAATGGCTGCTTTGCAGATGTTTTTAAAAGGGAACCTCAGAGACTTTGCAGCAGTGAACGGGACTGCAGCCAGTGCAGGTTTGTGGTCCCCATGCATGGTCCTATTTATTGCTGATTTCATCAGATTTAAACTGTCTTACAGAATGACCTCCAAGAGAACCCTAATGCAGCAATAAAATAAAAAATGAGAGACATGATAAACAAATACTGCCTTAAGTTTCTTACTCTTTTCACGAAACACGTGGTTCAGGAACACTGTCCCTTATACCTGGATAGAGGGTGCACATTTTAGAAATCTATCCCTGTTTGCATGACTCATTTGTTGGCTTGGATGATGTCACCACTGATTTTTATTTGGAAACCTAAGTCCATGTGTTCATATCAAACTGTGAGTTGATAATGTTGATTTTATTTAGTTCATTCACATAAATCTTCAACAACAATGGATTAGAAACCATTTTCAAACAGCAAACAACAGGCACAGTCTCATCTTGAAAGTATAATTATTTCAAGGTAAAATATTTGAGATATATATTTTACTATGTATATAGCAACAATAAGGCTTTAACTGAGTGGTTTTCTTGATGAAAGTATCAAAACTACATGGAAGAGCATCATTTGCATAGTTTTCTTTCCCAGAAAATTTTTTCCTAGGGAGTTAGATCTATTGACCAGCAGGAAACGGGCCCACGGGCTGACTCAAGCCTGTAATCTTTCTTGTACATCCTGAAACAAAATCAAAACAAGAAGAACTGTGATAACACACTCAAAGGGCAGGCCCAGAATTGCCCTGACGTGTACAAATGGCACCAGGAGTCAGAGCTACACCTCAGCACCCCCAGGATATGATTATTCCCTTCATGAAATAGGAGCCTTGGGCCCTGTAACATCACTTAACAAGCAACAAATTCAGGCTGTTAAGGAAAAACCCAAGTGCAAGTTATTTACACCAAAGAGGTGTGTTCATACAGACACACACTCCCCCAGTTTAATTTCTTTTGATCTCCTGTGTTTCCTGATAAAATACATCTCAAAGCACACACACACCCATGTCTGTTACCTAGAAACTTTGTGCTCGGATCCAGACACCATTAGGAGTCTTTCATCAGCTCTCTGACTGATGTTGGAGTTATCCCTAAATTGTGCTTTTGAATAAAATTGACCTAAGCAGCAACAGACACACAAATTATTTAAAAATACAACATTGCTGGTCATTTAACCCAAATGGCAGCTCTAACTCCAGGAAAGAAGCTCTTCATCTCAGAAATTGAACAAATGAAAGCTCCCTGAGCAAGTTAAGAAAATTCCTGTGTTTCAGCTGTGATCTCCTGTTATCCCTAACGCTCTCCATAGGGAGGCTCAGCCTTGCTCTGATAGATTTTCACAATTATTTTTTTTGTGGTTTTGTGAGATGCAGCCTCTCCATTTGCAAAGTCTCTGAAACAACTTCAGCTTTAGTCCCATCAGGATTTTTGGAGCCGAGACATTCAGGATCAGCTGGTTTCCATTTTCTAACTGTGATTGTTTACAATTTTATGTCTGTTATTTATGCTCCGTTACTTGACATCAAATGAATTTGCTGCATAAATCATTGTCATTCCACAGCACTGGTGAGGTTAAGCCCAACTATTATTTAAGTCTTATTTTAACAACTCCTAAACCCATAATGGGCTCTTTAGGATTGTCCCACTGTTGAGTGGAAAAGCATTGTGTTGTGTTTGCAGGGTCAGACCTCCCCTCCTCGCAGAGCAGGGTCTGCATTGCCGGGCAGTAAAAGTTACATGTCCAAAAAGAATAAATTAAATGCAAAGTTTCTCAAGAACACCCTGAAACAACCCCCCACTGTATTCTCATTTCAGGAGCTTAGTTACAAGATCATCCTTCTTTGCCATACACATCTGTAACAACACATACCCAGAGTTCCACTGACTTTGTCAGAAAAACGGTTGGCGCCCAAGAAATGCAGCACAAGGAAATCATCTGGGAACTTGATGAGGGAAATTTTCACTGTGACCGTGTTAGGTAGTGATGCTGTAAAGCTTCTTTCCTTTTCAACCGAGACTCTAAGACTGGGAAGTAAATTGTGACAGTATTTCAAATAAGAACATGAAGAAAGAATATGTATTTAACTAACTGACATTAATTAATCAAAATAATTTATTTATTGCCTTTTGTCTCTTTGCAATTGCATTTTTCATTATCTGTTGGTGGCTATTTTTAAGCTAGGAAACATTGAGTAGCGTATCTTTTCTTTCTGTGCTGCACAACAGGTCTTGCAAACACACCAACAGAGAAGAACTTTTTGCTGAAGAATACACCTTATTATCCATAATGACATGAAATGCTTGGATGGGGCAAAAAAAGAATATTTTCCCACCATTTTAAAGAGAAAAAAGGTAGACTGGATAAAATAATCCAGGCTAATTAATGAACGAATCAAATACTTTTTGCTTGGATATTCCACAAGTTTTTTCAGCCCCTGCCTTTCTTCTGACCCATGAATGTTATTGTGACCCCAGGTGGGCTTGCAGAACACAAATGTCACTGTCACTTAGGGCCCCCAAGTGCTGGTGTTCACAGTGCTGTGGGTGCAAGGGCTCAGCTGCTGGTTTGAAGCAGGAGGATCATTCTGCTTGGCAGACAAATTACACAGGGGTGTAAATCCAGCATGTTCTTGGCTCTGTTTGGACTACAAAAATAATTGAAAGCAGTTGTTGTAGGATTTGTTATTGTCTAGCACTGCCTGTAAGGGAGGAGCACTCTGTGTCCTGTCTGCCTCAGGCCAGCCACGGATTCTTGGGGGTGTTTATTCCAGCAATATAAAAAAGCTGGTGGAATCAGCTATGCTCAGCTCTTCCTTGTGGTAGCAAAGGATCCTGCTCTAATTAGTCTGACAAATAAAATCTACTTTTAAAGTGCCCCTTTTCCAACAGCGGGCATTTAGGTACAGACAGCTATTCCAAAACTTTATGCCTTCCCATAAAAAATGGCGGCCACCCAGATGGGAGTTATTGCTAAAACTGAGGAGAAAGAGAACTCCAGCCTGTGTGGAGCCAACTACTGTATAAAAGGGACAGTAAATGTCAAAGCCATCACTTCGCAGTGCTTGCTCTGCTGCTGGAGGGACACAAAGTACCTCGTGGTGGCACCAGGGCTGCCACACATCGCTGGGGTCCTTTCCTTTGGAAGATACAGACATGTTCTGACTCTGATGTTGAAGCAGAAAAGCAGGCTGGTGGTGCAGTTGTTTTGGTTCTCTTCACACAGGTACGGAGAATTAACGGAGAATTAAAATCATACCTGTTTTGTTCTCCATATTTGAAATGGGGTATTATGAAGGTACCCTGCTGCCGCTCACACTGAAGTACTCACTGGATAAGAACATTTGTAAGCACTCACTTCAGGTAAATGGCAAAGTGGAGGCCTGAATCAACAAAGGTCTGACACATTTTCAAGCTTAGGAAAGGACAGGGTGGTGTTTCTTACCCCTGGATGGTGGAGGTGGCTGACTCTGTCCATGGCAGCCGAGTGTTCTCATTATCGTGGCTGACAACGATCCCATCAGTGGAGACATGGATTTGCACGGGGGGATTCACATAGTTAATTCTAAACTCCACAAACCTATTTGTTCCATCTCGAAGTTTCCCCATCACAGTCAGTCCTTTAATACCATTAATACAGATTTTTCAGGTGACTGTGCTTTTAAGGTGCAAGTGATCTTAATGAAACTGCTGCAGTTTTGTTGCTGAAACCACTTCAGGGTCTGAAATCCACTTTTGTGAGGCACAGTACCCATGGATTTCATGCCCCAAGGCTGGTGGGATCACCAGAGCCTGTTTAACCCTGTGTTGCCACCTCCTGCACGGAGGTGTCTCTGTTCCATGATCAGAGCAGGTGCCTGGGGCTATGGCTCCTCTGAGTACAGGACCACAGAAAAACTGCCAGAATACCTTTCTGTCACCACACAGGAACCTTGGGGTTTAAGGTCTCTACATCCTCCAAAGCCCCCAAGGACTGGGCAGCAGAAATCTCTAAAGACCATGGATGTGACACCAGGAGGAGGTGACCCACAACCAGACCTGTGAGAAGTGCCCTCAGCTGTTGCAACATTAATATTGCCTAACAGAAAGGCAAAAATTAACCACAGCCCCTCTAGTCAGTGCAAGGCAGCAGGTATGATTTGGCCCTTCATGAAAGGGGGTTATTTCCAAAGGCACCAACTACTCTCACAGACCAAGTGGCTCTCCTTGTCCTTGGTATTGGGGGTAACCTGGCTCACTCACCTTGCTCTGGATCTGACAGCAGGTGGACAGAGGGTTGTGCTTTTCCATCAATGTTTAAACAGGTTGTTTCAGTTGGTGTGGCTAATTCCACAAGAAATTGTGGAGGTTCTTTGACTGAAAAGACAGAAGAACAGTATCAGCATACAACAAAAAATCTAGTCTGTGCCCTTTGGATAGGCACAGCAAAAATACTTAATAAATTTATACCTGAGATATTAGTTATGGCTTTTAGAATAGATTATTAAAACCACAGTAATAATTATTGAAAACCACAACCAGACACAGCACCTTGAAATGAATGAAACCAACAGATTTTTAAACTTAGAGTTTACTCAGGACAATGAGCCCTTAAAAAAGCTGAGGCTGAAGATCTGTTGTACTGCATTTCTCTTGGTGGTTATATCCTTGAGCCAGAGAGGCCTTCTCATGGAATATGGGGATATTCTCTACTAAAGTGGAAAGAACCAGC